CCCCCCCGCCCCTCCCCCCCCCAACCTGCACCCACCTGTTCATTCTCCTGGCAAACTCATTTTAGCTTAGATGCTGCCTCTTCCACAAAAGCACCCCTCACTCCCTAAGCAGATTTAGGGACTTTTTCTCTTGCGTTTCTCCCTGTGCTTATAAAACAATGATCTCATTTTACAGTTAAATGCGTATGTCTGTCTATCCTAAGTCTCTCTTTCTCTCTACTAGAGCATAAGCTCCCTGAGATCAGGAACTATGTATTTCCATCACTGGCTCAGTGGTAGATGCTCAGTAAATGGCAAGTGAATGAATACAAAATCAACCAGTTAATGTTTATATCTACTTAGTTAAATATCACTTTTACAAATTATCTTTAGATAATTCCTCTTAATCCTCCTAAGGATAAAGAAGTATCAAAGACTAAAACACACGATTTATGTAAAAGGTGTTACAGTAAAAATAAGACAAGCACTGGCAAAGCCTCTTAAAGGTAAATATTAGGCAACTGTTCTTCAAAATAATGACCTATTTAAAACCCTTAAGGGAAGAGGGGGTCATCAACTGGGAAGGGGCAGGAGGCAACCTTCGGAGGGCTGGAAATATTATATACATTGGTTTGGCTAGTGGTTAAAAATACAAGCAGCTATACACTTCAGATTAGTGCATTTTACTAGAGATCTATGCTATCTTCACTGAATGCAGTATAAGACTCTGGATTCAAGTTATAACTCCAGATTTAGTGAAACCATGGACAAGATACATAACTTCTCAATGTTTCAATTTGCTCATCTATAAAATTAGGATATTAGAAAACCTCACAGAATCGCACCTAGAACAGGGTAAAAACTATATTTTTAAATCAGTGGGCAGTAACCTTTTCCAATTGATAGGTCTAATTTCTAGCCTCTTTCTTTTTTCTTTCTTGAAATGAATCATGAGTGCAGGATTTATTTTACAGCAGAACAAAAGCAAATGGTGTATTTGGAAAATATTTTTATCACTAGAGTCTGAATGATAAATCACCAGCCCACCACCATCTCTCAAGTCTTCAGGTGAAGGGGCTCTGTGATTATATCAGGGGGAACCAAGTGCTCGGGGCAGCACTGGGGAGGCAGTATGTGATTTATTATTGGTCCCCTGTCATCTTGGGCATGCATGCTAAGGCTGCCAATCCCTGTATTAAACTATAATGAATGAAAAGTAACTACAATAGTTAAGTTTTCAGCTACACTTCTTTCCTCTTGCAAAGTTGACAGAAGCACCGTACTCAGAGGAGGCTAGATAATGGGTAAAATGGATCTGTTACAAATGAGTAGCTACAAAAAAACAGCAGAGTCAGTTAACAGAGTGCTAGAGCAGGAGTCAAGAAGGCAAGAGTTTGGCACCTAATTCTTCCACTAACAGACAAGTATTCTCTTTGGGCCTAATTTTTCTTTCTTGCAATACAGGGATAAAGTAGTTACCAGAGGGCTATTGAGAGAAGCAAGTCCAACAATGCTCATGAAAAACTATAAATCATCTTATTAACTTTTCGGGATCCAAATTAAGGCTCCCCTACGTAAGTGTAGTTCCAGTTTCATAGAAGACACCTTTAATCCATTCAGCTTCCCCCATTCATCAAAACTGTCTGTGCCATTTGTGTAATACAAAAATAACCTCATAAACTCTCCTGAGGTAAACTGAGCCTCTCCTTTGAGAAAAATCCCTTCTCCAGTAGTTCTCTCAGTAGAAGTTTACTTTCGCATAGCTCACCTCTTTAGCGATAGGAAGTGGGGTATGTGTTCCTCTTGCTCCTCAAAGCCTCTTCAGGCCATTACTTCTCCACCCTATTAAAAACCCTTGCCCAGCTGAGATCCATACCATTTGGCCATAACCCTCTCTCATTCCTGCTTGCTGTGACATCAGGTTCCTAGTCCCCCTTCTTTCATCAAAAGGTTTGGCACCTGGCTCAGTTTCCCTCTGTGCACCAAGTCCTGCCACCATTCTGGTGACTTCAGTGTTAATAACCATCAAGTACCACAGCCTCTAAGATTTTTTAGTCTCTTCCTCACTAATGGACTTCTCCATCACTCCACCTCTGCCATCACACATGTCACATGTCCGAGACTGAGTTATCACTTGTAACTGCTTCACTTTCAAAATCCTCAATTCTAATGTCCCATTTTCTGACCATATTCTCCTGTCCTTCAAGCGTGTTCAGGTACTTTAATCATGATCATTCTCTGACCACCCTGGGATCGCTTGTGCACATCTCCTCTGCTTTCTCCCAATCCATTAGCGCATTCTTTTTTTTTTTTCCCCTACTTCCTCTTTCTTCCAGCTCAGATTCTTTGGGCTATTATTTCAACTACACTCTTGGAATTATCTTTTGTCTTTGTCTTTTTGTCACTTTCAACGAGCAAAGCCCCAATTCAAACTAACCCAACTATCTGTTTTGTGCCTTGTCCTAAGCTACCAACTATTGTTGGATAAAGTCACAGATGCGTTTGACCAACTTCAGATGCACCCTTCAAATTTTATAACTTTCCCTGATCAATTCAGCTTCCTATTCTCTACAATGACTATTTCAAATCCGCTCCACTCCATTCATAAACCTCTGATCTTTTCATTCTCAGTATATGACCCTATTTTCTGTTTGACAAAGAAAACAGATCCATTAGATGGGAACTTCCTGCTATCAGACATAAACACCTACGTCCAGTGGCACTAACCCTCCCTCGTTCCTTCTGTAAGTCTCCCCTCCCTTTATCCAAGGTCAATCCCTCCCCCAGGTCTTCGTATCTCAGCCCCTTCCACCTTCTCAGCTATTTGACATCTCTACTCTCCCTTCTAGAGTCACTTCCATGGAAGCACTTAGATTCTTCCAATCAGCAGTTAAATAAATTCACATCTTAAGAGAAGACAAAATAAAAACCTCACCCCCTCTGACACCTGGAACCTTTCCATCTCACATCTCTTCACAGTCAAACTTCTTGAGAGAATAGTAGCTATTTTCTGTCTCCAGCCCCTCACCTTCTACTTAGTCCTCATCCTACTCCCATTACATCTACTCCCGTAACTCCAACAAGAGCTCCCACCACTGTCACCAATGACCTTGTTCCTAAATCTAGTGGATTTTCTTTTCAGTATGTATCTTGCTTCTCAGCAGCATTTGATGCATCTTTGTTTTGAACTCTTTCCCTTGGTTTAGGCAATTCTAGACTTTTTTGCTGTTTCTCCTTAATACCTTGCTGTCTATACCTTCTCAGTCTCTTTGCAGGTTCCTCCTTCTTTTATGCAGTCACTATACATTAGGTTCCTAAAGGATCAATACCAGGCCACTTTCTCTTCTCCCTCCATGCTCTTGCTCTAGGCAATTGCTTCAAATACTACCTATTCACAAATGAGTCACAATTTTTAACCAGGCCAGTTGCCTCCTCTAAGCTATATACCCACATACCCAACTGCCTATTTGACAACTCCTCTCAGATATTTCAAAAGCGCTTTAAACCCAACATACCCAAATATGAGCTGTCCCTGCCCATACTTGGTCTTCTTCAACTGTTTCCTGATCAATGAAGGGCACCAGGTATCTGGTTATGTGGGCACAGCAGTTATGTTTGAAATGTCTTTCCCCTACATTGGCCCACATATAATCTACCAGCAACTGTCAAATTTACCTTCTAAATATCCGTAGAATGCATTCACTTCTCCTTCTCCATTGCCACCACCTTAGTCCAAATTACTATCATTTCTCACAGAGCTTTACAGCAATAAGTCTCCCTATGAGTTTACCTGTCAATCCATTCTTTTCAAAATACAAATCTGACATCTGAACCCCCTCCTACCCTCTTCTCATTAAACTGCCTCAAAGGTTGTTTTAAGATAAAGACACATAATTTTAACAAGGACTATGTGACCCTACTGCATGATCTCTGGTCCCCATCTACCTACTAGTTTAATCACTTAACTCTTCTTTTTACTCCCTGTAGTCTAGCCAAAATGCCCTTCTTTCAGTTTCTGCCATGCTCTTTCTTGCAACAGGGCCTTTGCACATGCTACTCTCCTTGCCTGTGACTCACTTCCCTCCCTTCTTCACCTAGTTACCTCATCTTCATTTTTTCAGAACACAATCATCACTTCCTCAGACAAGACTTCATTGACTCTCTCTGACCAGGACCTATCCCTTTTACAAACCTCACTCCTAAACTAACCCAACTACCTGCTGCTTTCTTGTGCTTGGACTTGAGCTGCCAACTGTTGCTGGAAGAAGTCACTGGTGTGTTCAATCATCTTCAGATGCTCCCTTCAAGAGAGTCCTGCCATCCTTTTATAGGCAGTCACAGCACTATGAACCTCTACATCACGGCACTTACCACAATTCTAATTTAACATTTATCTTTGTGGCAGCTGCCTGATGTCCGCTTTGCCCATTTTATATTAGAAGCTCCATGAAGACAGTCTGCTTTCTCCTTACCCAGAATATCCCTAATGCTTACCCCCAGTGCCTGCCAGAGTCAGCTCTCAAAATATTACTCTTAAATGGAGTCTAAAAATCCTTTAAAGTGTCTTACCTTGTAAATCTTCCATCAATTCAAACATTCCAGGATAGTTAACTTGAATTTCATCAGTGTCCTATTTACAAAGAAAAAGGAATATTCATTTGACAATCATCACAAAAAATCCAGATTTGAAAAGAGGTCGTAGAGATTACCAGACCAACCTTTCACGGTAAAGGGATCTTCCTTACAACATTCTTCACAGATGTCATCTGGCTTGTGCTTGATTTATGAAGATTTCAAATTGCAGAATAAATATTCACTATTCTATGAGAAATCTTCCTAAAATTCCATCAATTGGTTCCAGTTTTCTCCTTGGGAACAACACAGAGGAAGTCTATTCTGTACTCTGCAAACCATTACCCTCTTCTTCAAGTCTTTGAAAAGTCTCCCAAAACACCATAATTTTCTAGGGATGGGGGTTAATTTCTAGACAAAATTTATGGATTCTTACATGTTCTGACTACGTTTCTCTGTACATCGGCAACATCAGTCTCTCTTAAAATGTGGCATCCAGAATCAAGCCAAACAGGGTCATCTCCCAAGATTCATTCTACTTCTAATAATGCGGCAATACTGCATTGGCTTGTTTAGGGGGTGGGCACACTACTGGCATATACACTATTTTTCAAATGACTATTGGTTAATGATGCCCTACCCCTTTTGAAGACTGATACAGGAATTTACTATTAGTACAGTGGCAGAGACCACTGATGCTCCCCAAATATCCAGGTGTTCCTTGACACTTTCCAGCCCGAAACAGACATTACTGATGGCCAAAGAAAAGGGGTGGGGGTAAGCAAGTTGGTAAAGAGCTAATGAGCCTTTTCCAGGCTATCTCTTCTGCAGTGGTGACCTTAGAGTATGCAAAGGCCACATGGCACAACTACAAGATGGAGACAGGCTGCCTAGCCAGCGCGGGGCTGTGATATGATAAAATTCTGTGTTAAGCACTAAGATGTAGGAGTTTGTCTATATTGAAAACTAGCCCTAAATACAGGATACATACTTCTTTTTTTTCAAGTTTGCTATCAAAAAGCTGCGTGTATCTCAAACTTCATCTTCTTTGCACTAACCACTTTTGAAGTGTCTAGATTTACGTTCTGTAACTTTACCTAATGTGTTAACTATTCTTCCCAATTTTAGACTTTAATGTTGCACAGAATCAAGTACAAAACCCAAAAGAACACATCAAAAACACCCATTCTAATTCCTAAAGAAATGCAAAACAAAATGACCAGTTATCTTTATTTTGTTTTTAACCTTAGTGATACAAAACAAAAATATAAGCAGGAACTTTCATACATTGCTGATGGGGCATGTAAATTTATGATACCTTTTGGAGAGTAATTTGACTTTATCATCAAAATTTGAAATGCACAGATTCTTTGACCCAGCAATTCCATTGCTAGAAACTGGCCTGACAGATGTGCCAAGATTATGTGAAAGGAAATTCATTGCAGCATTGCTTGAATGAGTAAAAAAAAACAAAAAAACTGGAAACAATCTAAATGTCCATTTGAGAAATGGTTAAATAAAGTGTATCTATTCAATGAAATACTATACATGTGTTAAAAAAGAATGTGGGAGATAAATATTTGTAGAAGGAGATTTCCAAGATATATTATTGACTTAAAAAATCAAAAGAGTACATAGAGGAAAAACAAGAGTGTATATATTATTGCATATGGAGGTTAGCTATATAACTATATTCTGGTCTACATGGAAAAACTGTTCTGAAAGGATGTGCAAGACAGTTAACAAAGGCCATCTTTGGGGAGGGGACGGCTGTCAGAAATCAGGAGGAGGAGACCGCTTTCACCTTAGACCTGCTCTATTTATCTCATTCTCTCTGTACATTTTCTTATTTCCTTTTTTTAAAAATGTATACATGGATCAGGTTGTGTGTGCACTTTTTATAAGATCATCCTGGGCAGCCCACTTATTTCTTCTATGTACTCTTCTACATTAATTAACTATTTTTAAAAAGAGATCCTAAGATTAAAAACAAAATTCCTTCCAGACTGATACCTAGTCATTAAGCAATATCTTTTGGGGGAAAAAACATCTTCAGTGAAACCAACTACAAGCACATCTCAGTCAAAAGAGTGCCACAATAGCTTTGTCAAAAGCCTTCTCAATTAAGATGAACCACATCTGCTGTTCTCTCCTAATATACTAGACTGGCAGCTCTACTCTAAAAGAAATGAGCTTCATTTAGAATGCCAATTAACTCTGAAAATAATTCACTAAGAGGGTTATATAAACATAAATATATTATGTTAATTTGACTTGATTTCACTTTAAAAATAAAAATCCATTGCCATATGTCATATGCAACATAAACCTGTATAATCTATTATATAAAAGCTTTTTTGGATGGGAGTTTTAGAAAATGAATTAGCATACAATGCTAATACAGCACTTTAGAGACACTGTATATGTCTTAAAAGAGGAATAAATTTGTATAGATTTATTATTAAATCAGCAACTCTCTAATTTCACACACTATAAAGAAGGCTCTACATCAATATTTTTGTATTATATTAATGTTTGAGTCATTCAGCTCATTTTTGGAGAAGAATATGGAAGATATTCTGAATTAATAGATCTCCCAATTAACAGAAATGTAGGCTTTTAAACACTATAATGTCAGGTTAAACTTCTTCTTTTGTTTTTTTTTTGGTGAGGAAGATTGGCCCTGAACTAACACCTACTGCCAATCTTCCTCTTTTTGCTTGAGGAGGATCGTCCCTGAGCTAACATCCATATCAATCTTCCTCTATCTTGTATGTGGGATGCCAACACAGTATGGCTTGATGAGTGGTGTGTAGGTCTGTGCCTGGGATCTGAACCCGTGAACCCCAGGCAGCCAAAGCGGAGTGCACAAACTTAATCACTATGCCACTGGGCTGGCCCCTCAGGTTAAACGTTTTTAGTAGAAATCTTTCTAAAATGCACAACCCACTTTATAACTGTAAAAAACTGCATGTGGTTAACATAATTTAACTTTCTTTTGATGACTCAGAAGTCTTATCTTTTTCTTAATAGGCAACAACTTTTGACTCCCCTAATATTGCTGCCTAACCTGTATGATCTGGCACAAATTCTTTAACATCACCCCATGAACATTTGCACTATGCTTCTCTGTGTGACTCATGTCCCTTACATTCCCCCCTACACTTTTCAGTGGCTTTACATTCCCAGTCAGAAATTCTTTTTTTTCACTTCAGTTTGTAACATAGCAATACAGGAGACAACTCTTAAGAGGGTGGACTATAAGGATAATCTTTTCCTTATTATAAGGAAAGTAAATATTAGACATTAATGCTTTAAACAAGTAGTTTCTGATCTATTTTCAGTCATAATACTCTCTCAAGATCTGATGAAAACTATGGGTCCCTTCCTTCACATTCAAAAGACAAAAACCAAGTTTGTGTACAAACAACGTCCCAGTGTCATTGGACTCTCTACAATCTACTGACAGGCCCTCTATAAATCCAAGAATATCAGGCAGGGATTTCTGTCTGTTCATTGCTGTATCCCAAATATCTAGAATAGTGCCGGGCACATAGAAGGTACTCAATAAATGTTTGTTATAAGAAAGAATAAATAAATGAAAACAGAATAGAAGGATATTCATTTCCGCATTATTTCTATCGGCAAAAAAAACTGGAACAAACCTAAATGTCGTTCATGAAGGAAATAGTTAAATAAAATTGTGGTACATTCACACCAGGGAATAACATGCAGAAGTTAAGAAGGGCAACTATATCCACATTCATTTTAAAAACTCTCTAAATACTGTGAAGAATGAAAAATAAGTTTCTGAAATACATACATATGTATGTGTGTCTACATATAGTAAAGCATTTCTTGTTTAAAAAAGTCTGGAACGTTACACACCAAAGTGATAATGGTAGCTATCTCTAGGGCAGCAGTTCTCAAAGTGTGGTCTGGAGAGTCCTGGGCTCCCCAGGACCCTTTTGGGGATCTGCAAAGTCAAAACTACTTTCATAATAATAATGAGATGTTTTTTGACTTCTTCACGTCTCATTCTCTCATGAGTATACAATGGGATTTTTCAGAAGTTACGTGACGTGTGATATTGCAATAGATGTGAACACAGAATCAGACGAGAATCTAGTTCTCTTTTATTACCCCATACACTAAAGAAATTTGTAAAAATATAAAGCAATGACATTCTTCTTCTTTGAAAATAGTTCTTTTTCACAAAACATAGGTTATGTTAACATGTAATATTATTGTTAGTTTTTTAAATACTATTTTGAACTTTCATTTATTTATTTTTGAAGAAGATTAGCCCTGAGCTAACAACTGCCGCCAATCCTCCTCTTTTTGCTGAGGAAGACTGGCCCTGAGCTAACATCTGTGCCCATCGTCCTCTACTTTATATGTAGGACACCTGCCACAGTTTGTCTTGATAAGCAGTGCACAGGTCCGCACCCGGGACCCCAACTGGTGAACCCCAGGCCACCAAAGCGAAATGTGTGAACTTAACTGCTGCGCCACCAGGCCAGCCCCTATTATTGTTAGTTTTAAATGAATAAACACAAAAATTCAGTTTTAATTTCTCATATGGTTAATATTGATAGATATAAACCTCATAAGCAAAAGCTCTTTAAGATCGTCAATAATTTTAAGTGTGTAGAGGGGTCCTGAACTAGGGTTTTGACAACTGTTAAAGAGAGAGATAAGATTTTGGGGATTATGGGAGAATGGCAAACTTTCACTTTATCTATATGGTTTAATGTTTACAATTAAAATATATTTGTGTAATTACTTACATAATTAAAATATATTAAAAATATACAGTGATCCCTAAACATAAAATTGCCTATATTAAATTACAAAGCAGAATACTCATGTGAAGCAGAGTTCGCCCATTTTCTAGCTGCCCAACGTCTCAGAATGCAGTTTCTATTGACTCAGCCCATTTAAAAGTTTACAAAAGGTGAACCCTAGACACATTTAAGGGTTGTCATCAGTTTCTAGCCTATTGTCTCTCTTCCATTCCCTGGAAGCCCCTTTCCAACATTAAGGGCTCTGGGGGTCTATCCCCTTGCTTTCTATCAAAACATGAAAGGATATGACAATCCACTTTTGGTTGGTTGGTTTATGAAATAGATTCACACTAAATCACCTTAAACAGTTATTTTAATTTAAAGCTTATCATCTCTAATTATGTGATGAGAAGCTTTCTTCATCAAGAAATTTCTATTTCCTCTAATCAGGTTTAGAAATGTTTCTAGGCCTGAGGGGTTTGGAAAAATCATAGCAAGTCTACTCAATCAATCTCTGAAGACAGTAATGACATCTTTTAGAATGACTTTTCTATTGAAGAGAGTTAGAAGGGAGCAATCAGTCTCTCCAGATGACTTCCTGTTGGAAGCCTTGGCTCGCAAAGTCCTGGGGGGGAGGGCGGGGGGGAGAGGAAGGTAGAAATTAATATTTATTAAGCATCTACCATGGTCCAGGCACTTCACACCCTTTATCTTATTTAATACTAATAGCCACCTGAAGTGAGTGACATTTGCATTTTTTTTTAAATGAACGTTCAGAGAGGTGAAGCATATCCAACAAATTCCCCCGGCCAGTAAAAGGGCAAGGTAAGGATCCAAATTATACCTGTCAGACACCAATACCCTATACCATCACTGTACCATGCTGACTCCATGTTTCCTCTACCCTGCTGCCCTGACGGCCTAAGGGTCCTCTTTCCAGATCCTCCAGCCCTAATGGAGTGTAGTCCATGTCCTACCTTCTCTAACCTTGATCTACCCTAGGCCTCGCAAATGCACATTCTCTCACTTCTGCCTCATATGGCACTATTTCAATTGAGGGCTAGTAGTAGAGGTAGTGTTGTATCTTTTCCCTCTTATCTGGAATGTTCTAGCTCTCCTATTACACCTAACTCTGCATTTCAAGATTCAGATGGAGTAGTATGTCTTAGAAAATAGGCTCCTTGTTAACTGAGGTCCTTTTTTGGAGGGGGTCGGGGGGGTGGCGTGACCTATTCAGGTAACAACTAAAAATTTTACATTCCTAGCTTGTGTCAATCAAGATGAGTTTATACAAACTCAATTAAAAGAGAGAGAGAGAGTGCCAAAACCTTTCCACAACACCATCAATACCCAGAGTGTCCTATCTTTCATATGAGAAGTTGTTTCTGAACTGTGTAATTAATGGGTTACTTGATCCTCTTGATACTTACCACAGTCAGTGTATTAAAGCCAGCTCTCCCGAGCAAATGTCCTAGGTCATTGACAGCAGTGAAAGGAGAAACATGTGGAGAAAATCCTCCTTCCCTTTCTGTTTCTGCTAACTGTAATGAACACCGAAGTTCATAGAGTGTGTCACCTCCAAACATTGCGCCAAGAAACACTCCATCTGGTTTTAAAACATAATGAATCTGTAATAAATACAAGACAACAAAACTATTCAAAATTTTATATACAAAAATGTTAATCGAATAAATATATGGTGTCGCAATCAATACTTTATGATTACCATTCTTATTTTGTCAAATTAATAATCAGATAATTTAATAAATAACATCTAAGGCAACAAACTATCAGAAAGTTGATGCAGTATAACATTATTGTAAAGATACAATACATTCATTGATAGTATTGATATCAATAAAATATGTTATGTTTTCAAATTTTCTAATAGACAAATTTTATAATCAGAAAAATACTGCAATTGTAAAGTATGGTAGACTGCAAAAATCATAACCTTCCCTGTATCTGTGCCCTTTGAAATGTCACTTTGTAACAACTCCCATCAAGAGATGGAGTCTACTTCCCCCTCCCTGAATCTGGGCTAGCCTTGTGACTAGCTTTGGCCAAAAGAATGCAGTGAAAGTGACAGTGTGTTAGTGGCAAGCTAAGGTCTCAAAGAGCCTTGCATGCTTCCACCTGTTCTCCTGGAGCCCTGTCAGGCCACCATGTTGTGAACAAGCCTGAGCTAGCCTGGTGAAGGATGAGGGACATGAGGAGCAGAGAGGAGCCAGGGATCCTGGCTGAGGCCATCTTTGACCAGCCAGGTCCAAGACAATCTAGCAGCAGATCACAGACACATGGGTGAGCCAAGCCAGACCCAGAAGAATTTCCTAACTAAGTCTTACCCAAATTCCCAAACTACAAAATCGTGAGCTAAATGAATTGTTGTTTTAAATCACTAAGTTATGGTGTCTTATTACACAGAAAAAGCTAATTTTTAGAGAAACCATTATAATTCACAACATTAACCTAGCAACACACTAGTTTTTTTTTTTTTAAGGAGAAGTATCTAACTTATTTTCCAGCTTTAAAACAAAAACAATTTGTAATTGATAACTTCAGCAAAATAGTGGCCAGAGTGAATTTGAGAACCACAATGTTTGTTCACTAACTCTCTTAGACTACAATCTGTAACTAGTTTGACTGTGACTATTCCCAACAATGAGGAATGTTACAGGAAAAGGTGGATTCTAAAGCAAACCAGAATCCAAATCAGAGTAGGCGCTTCTAATCAAAGCATCCATCTTGAATTTATATTTAATATATTATGAAGTAATTACAAAACAGTATATAAGCAAATCAACTGTAAAATCTTTGGTTTCTTCCCTTCTGCCCCTGTAGTCTTACTTCCCTCTCTTGTCACCAAAGTCTAATATAGAGACTAAGATTTAGTCCTCAACTCTCTGCAGCTTCTCTCTAACTCGGGGAGTTTATCAATTCCCCTGGATTTCAAAAGGATGACTTTCCAATCTCTATCTTTAGCGCGGACATCTTTCCAGAACTCTAAACTCATGTTCAACCGCCTATGTCATGGACATTTGTCTCTTGGCAAATAGATCCCCCCAACAGATCCAACACACACAACACTTATTCTCAAACTAACTCCTCTTTCCAATTGCTATATTTGTTAATTACCATTTTCTATTCCCTTTATCTCTTCTACTCCCTCTACCATTCTTTCTACTACTATTACTAATTATTCTCCCAGTCATCCAGACTCAAAACTTTAAGGTGAGCCTTGACTCCTCCCTCTCTTTGATCTTCAGCTCTAACCAGCCACAAAATTGTTGATTCTTCCTTTGCAGAGTCGTAACTATCCCTACCTTCCTTTTAACGCCTACCATTGCCACCTAGATTTAGTTTATCTCATGACTGGACCACTGAAAGTAGTCTCTTCAATTTAACCAACTTCTTCTGGAATCAGTTTTCTAATCAGCAAAATGAAGATATCTTGCAGGGTTATTTAACACATATATAAAACAGAGCACAATGACTGGCAAATAGTATGTGCTTAAGATATGGTAGTTATTACACTGCCCACTAGCTTTTTAATCATGTCACTTTCCTCTTTCAAATTTTCCAGGAGCTCTGAATTGCATCAAGAATAAACTCTGAATTCCTAAGCGTTACCCAAGTCCTCCTAAATTTGGTTCCAATATGCCTCATCTCTCAGCACTAAGCTAATTCTCCAACAGGCTTCCTCTTTGTCCTTTCATGCTCCTGAAGCTCTTGTACCTCCCCATCTATACTCTGATTCTGCCTTCCTGGAACGCCTTCTCTTTCCAAATCTGACCTGTCCTCTAAGGCCCTGTTCAAGTAATTCCTTCCTCTTGAAGCTTTCCTAGGCCATTCCAAGCCACAGTATCTCCTTCCTTCCTCTGAACACAATTTTTTACCTACTCCTTACCTGCCTTATCACCTGATAAAAGTTAACCAACAAACATTACCTAGCATTCTCTAAGTATAATGCATGGAGAAGATACAAATATAAACAAATAAGTTCTTACCCACAAAAAATTTATAGGCAATAAAGGAAGAAAAGAAACACATATAGAAAATGTCTTCTAATATCATTTTGTACAAGTTATTAAAGTTTTCACAAATAGATAAAACATCTCTATAATTAGATTTTTTGAATTCCCAGGAAGGAGGGAATCAATCATTGTACTTCCTAATATGCCAAAGGCTAGCAAGTGTACCTGGCCCACAGAAGATAATAAATACTGGATTTGCTTCCATTTTCTACTGTCAGAACTATAAAACAGAAACATCTATAACTTTCTGTATAAAAACTGAAACAAATGCTAAGTTCCTAATAATAAATAAAATAACACAGGCTATTACAATCAACATTAAGGTTCTTACCTGTTCAAGTGCTCTAGGAAGATCATTCACCCAGTGCAAACTACAATATGAAAACACATTTGTTTTAGCTTAATTCGTTTAATTAATCACTATAATTGCCTCTAGTATAATGACAAGCTACAAAAAAGGTGTTAATTTTGAAGCCTGAAATTACATATCAAAATTCACTGACTGGTTTCATACAAGTTTTAAAATAAAAAATTTTGGGGGCCGGCCCTGTGGCCGAGTGGTGGGGCTCACGTGCTCCGCCTCAGCAGTCTGAGGTTTCGCCGGTTCAGGTCCTGGGCGTGGACATGGCACCGCTCATCAGGCCAGGTGAGGCGGCATCCCACATTGCCAGAACTAGAAGTACCCACAGCTAAAAATATACAACTACGTACTGGGGGGGCTTTGGGGAGAAAAAGGAAAAATAAAAATAAAATCTTTAAAATGAAAAATTTTCCTAGGGGAAAACCCTCTTTCTGTGACACTACAAAATGTGACAGTAAATCACTTTGTTGATATAATTATCTGTCCAGTTATTCTTCACTGAATAAACTAAAAGTCAGTTTCTCCAAAGAAGACATACAAATGGCCAAAACGCACATGAAAAGGTGATTAATATCACCAATCATTAGGGAAAAGCAAATCAAAACCACAATGAACTATCACCTTATACCTATTAGGATATCATATTATCAAAAAGACGGGAGATAATAAATGCTGGTGAGGATGTAGAGAAAAGGCAACTCCTGTGCACTGCTGATGGGCACATAAACTGTTATAGCCACTATGGAAAACGGTACGGAGGTTCCTCAAAAAATTAAAAATTGAACTGCCATTTAATCCAACAATCCCACTACTGGATATATATCTGAAGGAAGTGAAAACACTATCTCAAAGAGCTATCTGCACCCCCATGTTCACTGCAGCATTATTCACAACAGCCGAGAAAGACATGGAAACAACCTAAGTGTCTATCAATGGATGAATGGATAAAGAAGATGTGGTATATATCTACAATGGAATATTATTCAGCCATAAAAACGGAAGGAAATCCTGCATTTTTGTGACAACATGAATGGACCTTGAGGGAATTATACTAAGTGAAATAAGTCAGATAAATAAAGACAAATACTGTATGTTCTCGCTTACATGCAAAATCTAAAAAAGGCTGAATTCACAGAAAGAGAAGAATACAATGGAGGCTGCCAGGGGCTGGGAGAGGGGGGAAATGGTGAGATGTTGGTCAACGGGTTCAAACTCCTAGCTATAAGAAAAATATTTGGGAATCTAATGCCCAGCATGATGACTATAATTAACAATACTGTATCAATAACTTGAAAGTTTTTAAAAGAGTCGATCTTAAATGTTATCTCTACAGACATATACAAAATATCGTAATTATTGAAGGGATGGAGATGTTAACTAACCTTACTGTGGTAATCATTCTGCAATATATACATGTATGTATAATCATCACATTGTATACCTTAAACTTACATATGCTATATATCAATAATATCTCAATAAAGCTAGGGAAAAAAAATAAAGTGAAAGTCGTTCCTATCTGACATCTCATCTAAACAGTGCTACTCTGAGACTTTACTGAAAGAAAGTAATAAAAATAAGCACTTGATGACATGTTCAAGGAAGTTCATTAATTAAATCAAACAATTAAGCTAGAGATATATACTAGCATTCTAAGCCCTACTTTCCTGGAAAGAAATAAAATTTATCATCACACATTATTTTTCCAAGGCAAATAGTATTATTCATCAAAAACTTAATAAGTTTTCTGATAAATATCCCATATTTTTTAAGATCATAAAACAAAAACAACCCAGAGCTCCATGTACTTAAAATTTAATTTAAGGAACTTCTTGCATTGTCTTTTGACCCTACTGACCTTGTCCCAGTGTGTGGTGATACGCAAGAATATGATGGCAAGAATCATATTCTGAGTCTCTATAGAGTGTGGTCACACTTTCCTGGTAGAGTTGGCATCATCTTATGTTGACTTTCAGGATAGTACTGAAGACCCATTTCACACTGTACTGTGTTAAATTCAAATGTATCTTTCATAAGGCTTTCTAACAATTATTAGATATTTTAAAAATTAAGGAGGTCATATTATAAACTCTATCATACTTGTGGAGAAAATGAAAGCAATGGAATCAGTTACTTGCCAATAGCAAGCAGATGAGCTAAAGTTAAAACTCGAGTTCTGACTCCCTGCGCAGAGCTCTTGCCCTCAGACCAAGGCTCTGTAATGTTTTTCATTTCATGACAGAATCTGAACACTTTTCTAATTTTGTTCAGCACATGTCAAAAAGCAGGGAAGAAATTACAAACTCACTGAAGAAAGCAGCAAGGGTGACCAACTCCCAGTTCGCCTGGGACTGAGGGGTTTCCTGGCACACAGGCCTTTCACCACTAACACTGGCGAGGTCTTGGGCAAACTGTGATGACTGGTCACCCTAAAATCAGCTATCAAAACGGCTGTACTGACAAGGAGAGCATGTTAAATCTTTGAAAGAAAATTTATCTGACTATAATAAGAAGAAATAAGGTACTGCATAGAATATTTTATTTTCTCTATTAGATGCTGAGTTCTTTGAGGACAGGATCCCTGTCTGAACTGATTTTGTACTCCCCCAAAGCACCTAGTTCAGTGCCTTGCATATTATAATCTATCCAATAAATATTTATAATATGTTTGTGTAATAAATGTGGAGGGACATGGTAGGAAGCACAGAGGGAAAAAAGTAACTTTGAGGACTACATTTCTGTGTAGAAAAAGAATTTTAGTTGAAAGAAATACTAGCTTTTCCTTATTTGGAAGAACAAGCTTATAAAGGGTGCTCTAACATTTGAATATTGGAGCCAGTATACTCTTTCAAACTCCTGCCCACATCAATATCAATTCCAGGATACCAAGTTGCATCAGGGAGGAAAACCCTTCTATCACAGATGAGCTTTTGCAAATTGAGGAAAGTTGGAAAAAAAAGTTGACGTGCTGTATCATATTATCTCCACTAGGGAGCATATAATCCAAAATTCTTTAGCAGAGAAATCTTATTGCTTATAAACCAACATAAGTGGGTTTGTGACTTTAAAAAAAAGTTAAGAATTTACTCCATTATCTATTTTCTTTACCTTATAATACTAAAACTTTAAAGCATAAATTATCTATTTATAACACATATATTTTTTAAAGTACAAATGGATTACCAACCTTAAACTGCTAACCACCAGGTCAAATGTATTTTCTCGGAAGGGAAGGAATTCTTCATCAGCTAAAACACTGACAGTAGGAATTTCTGTTTCTAAGGTATTTTTCTAATGGTTAAAAAATAAAAGTTCAAAAACACATTTATATAGAATCTCAGTTACTAATGCAATCATTGTTAAATTTAAGTAATGTTACATTTACTTGGCAGTTTCTATCCCTTCAAAAAAAATTAACCAAACAAAAGAGCCACACAGAAACTCAAAAAATATTTCTGAAATGACACTAAAGACCAGCCATGAAAACTGTCTAGCTGGTTGGAAAAACATAAATAGGACACCTATCTCACACCAAAACAAATCTCAAAAGGCTGAAAGCTTCAGTGGAATAATTGAAGCCATAAAAGTACTAGATGAAAATCTGGGTCAACGTTGTTATACTCAAATAAAAACACCTAAGTAAACATGGCTTAAAAGATAGAAACTGAAAAGGAAAAGATTGATATATTTGACGATAAACTAATCAAAAACTTCTAAAAAGCAATAATAAGTGTAAACAAAACATTGGGAAAAATATTTATAACATACATGATGAAAAATTAATATCTCTAAAAAAACAAGCTCTTACAAACCAAAGAGGCAAAGAGAAGGAGAAAAAGGTACTTTCATCGAATATTGTCATTCAGTCTTTCTAAGAGCAGTCTGGAGATGTGTATCAAAAATTTAAAGATGAACATCAACGAATCCATAAATTCCACTACTAGGAATTTATTCTCAGGGAGAAAAACAAATCAAACATACAGAGTTGCTTTATATAAGAATGTTCATCACAGTGTTGGTTATTGAGAAAATAGAAATAGAACCGTTCAATAGAAACTTAGCCAAATACATCATGGAATAAATAAATCATATATTGGAATACTACATAGCCCTTTAAAAAGATGGTATGTGCGTGTATATAAAAGGACGATGTTCTGTGAAAAACATGGCACATTAGCATAACACCATTTCTACAAAATTGTGTGTTGGGGAGATAGATATTCACCTACAAAGGGGGAGACCAAAATGTCACCAGTGGTTGCCTCTGAGTGGTGGGACTAGGGGTGATATTTTCTTCTTCCTTTGTATTTCCTATGTTGTTTAATTCTTCTTTATATGTATTATATTTATAAACAGGAAAAAAAACCAAACAATGCTATTTCGAAGTTGAAGGAAATAAAAAACAAAGAACTAAAAATCAAACCAAGAGATCAGAAACCATGTGTTAAAAAGCTACCTACCAAAGCATTTTCTGCAATGTCTGCTTGGAAAAACTTTCCAACGGTTTCCTGTAATGAAATAAAGTTGATCAGATAATACAAAAACAAACAAACAAAAACCCACTAACAAATAAAACAGAATGACTGTTGAAATTGCTAAAGGAGAAAGTGATAATTATAAGCTAATTTTCAGCTTTGTAAGGGTATTTTGCTGCATAAAACCAGTATGGTACACAATTACTTTTAATAACACATATTAAGTTACACAGATTTAAATACATGCAACTAACCCTATGTTTAATAAAATAGAGAACACAAGTATGAATAATCAACATCCTTCATTTACTTCACTGGGTTAAGGCTTACGTGTTACCTTTGCCATGGCATAAAATGCTGAGAGCTAGTCCCCACTCTTGTGCCATAAAAGACTTGGAATGGTTTTCTCACCTTTCACTTGTTCATTCAAAGAGTTTACAAAGAATAAAGAAAGACTTAATAAACAGTTACTTAAGAGGGGCCTAACTGGTTTCATTTTCCCTGTTTCACCTATTCTCCCTTCCTTTCCAGAGGAAAGAGTATTGCACTATTTCTTTCCCAGATTAACACCTTCCACTATGCACTTTTTTATCCAGGATCCTGCTCCCTCCATCACCATCTCTACCTATCTTCAATCTTCATCTTCTGTGTTTCTTTCCCTCTCACCTTAAAACAGGCATAAGCCTCCCAATTTTGAAAAATTTCCTCACCTCTAATGGTCTTGTGGTTGTTTTGTTTGCAATCCACAACTCTACTTCTCACTAATGTTTTTCTCCCCAATTCTTGGTAATCTATTTCCACTTTCACTGCTCGGATTACCAATAAACTAATCACCAACCACAACAGTCGGTCTGCTACCAGTCTTACTTCACTTGACCTCTTTGAAGCAGAGCACTGCTGACGGTCTACTAGAAACTTCCTCAGCACTTTCTTTGAGTACCTTCTCTGTTAGAGAAACCAATCCTTTGCACTTCATCCACACCTCCTTCTTAAGGAACTTCCCTGCCCACAACTTGGAAAGGGTACTGTACCATTACCTGGGTACCCTACCATTACCTGAACACTGCTGATTACCTAAGGGCAACTGGTGTGCAGGTAAATGTTTAACTTTGGGTCTCAAAAAAAAGGTGCCCAATTTCCACAGTGCAACCACTCCAAGAATGGCAGATTTCATGCCACCAACATGATGTTGCTGAAAGTAGAGCTGGGAAAAAATGTGCACAATTGGCTCTCATGAGCTAATTCCAGCATACCAGTGGGAGGGGTGAAAAAATAGGCCAATCCAGACTATCTACCCCTGTCTCTGACTTGAAAATTTAAATAAGAGACAGAGACAGGGGCAGAGGTTCCTGGAGTTGGAAGAGTATGTAGACTTCAGGGTGCAGGCAGTGGTATGCTGGTAAATTTTTAATAGCGGGCTTTTGGTAAGGGACTGCTTTGTAGCATTTGTCAATTTCTGTGGCATAAACACTCCACCATGGCTGATTTCAAGTTATCAACATGACATCACTGAATACAGAGTTGGGAAGAGATACTAACAATCAGCTTTCATGAGCTGCTATAAGCTAGCCTCAGCACACCACTGGGTGTAGGATACTCATATTGGGGCCACATGCCCTGATGAATACCAGTGATAGTCTGCAGAGAGAAAAAAGAAAGAAGGCGGGGCCGGCCCCGTGGCCAAGCGGCTAAGTTTGTGCGCTCCACTTCAGCGGCCCAGGGTTTCGCCAGTTCAGATCCTGGGCACAGACATGGCACCACTCATCAGGCCACGCTGAGGCAGCATCCCGCGTGCCACAACTAGAAAGACCCACAACTAAAATATACAACTATGTACCGGGGGAATTTGGGGAGAAAAAGCAGAAAAAAAAAAAAGAAGAAGATTGGCAACAGTTGTTAGCTCAGGTGCCAATCTTTAAAAAAAAATTAAAAAAAGAAAGAAGGCAACCATGCAGCATCTAGTAATCCCAGAGAGCAAGTGAACAGGAGGGCCTTCATTCTGTTTCAAACAGGCCTTGTGAGGCTGGCTGTACTTTCAGATCCTTGAGTGACATAAGAGCCTCTAAGTAACAAATGTCCCTGTATTTAAACTGGCTTCAGTGGATTTCTGCTTCTCACAGTCAAAAGATACCACATTAAGGCACTTTCCATCTTGCTTACTATTCCCAGCATCTTTGTTGGCTCCTCCTCATTCTTCTACCCCTAAATAAAATTGTGGACGGTTCTTTTCTATATTTTTGCCCCAGTTTACCTATTCCTGTGGCTTCTGCTGTCACCTCTGACAGAGGCTTCCAAATGAGAACAACAGCTTCCACTTTGCCAGACTTATCTCATCTCACTTAATCCTCTTGCCCACCTTCGGAGATACATATTACTGCTCACATTTTACAGAAACTGAGGTCTGGAGAAGTTGGGTAACTGGTCTAAGGGTATATAGACAGCACGTGGCAGAGCTGAATTTTGAATCCCGATCTGCCCAACTTGAGTCAATGCTCTTAACCTCAACACCCAATTCCAGTTCCACATTTCCAACTACCTGCCGGACATTAACAGTAATATAGTCCACTGTCACCTCAAACGCAACATATCCAAAATAGGAATACCACTTGCTCCTTGCCACCACATCCCCTGACTTTTTCCAGTCACTGAAGTAATAACTTCAAAGTTACCACGCATTTATTTACGCAATATTCATTTAATAAATCTTCACTGTGTGTTCTAGCTACTGGAAATTTAGTAGTGAACAAAAATGAGCAAGTCTGTGGAGCTTATATTCCAGTAGGAGAAGACAGACGCCAAATAAACAAACATACAGCAGGTGCTAATAAGTGCTTTGGAAACAAATAAAGCAACTAGCCAGTCAAGAGTGGGGGCCCTGTTTTATAGAATAGTCAGGGAAGGGATTTTTGATGAGGGGTCATTTAAGCAAAAACCTGAGAGGTGAGGCAGTAAGCCACACAGACATCTTGGGGAAGAACGTAGAGAACAAGTACAGTGCAAAGCCCTGGCCAGTCTGAGAGACAGCAAGGAGGCCAGGGTTGCTAAAAAGTAGGGAATGAGGGGAAGGAGATAAGGTCAAAGACATCATGGAGAGTCAGATCATTGAGGGCTTTATGGATTAGGACCCTGGATTATTATCAAATTATTAGACGACAACTGCCAAGAGTTCTGAGCAGAGGACTGACAACCAACTGACACGTTTTAAAAGGATTAGTTTGTTATGAGAACAAACTGTCAGAACAAGAATAGAAGGGAGGCCAATAAGGAGGCTACTGCAATATGGACCAATATGGTAATACCGAAAGTAGTAGAATTATGGATCTATTTTGAAATCCAAATAAGATTTGCTGATGGATTTGATGTTGGAGGGGAGGACACAAGAGGAATCAATGACTAAGTTTTCTGGCCTGAGCAACCAGAAGAATGGGTTTGCTCTGCCCACCATATCTGATCAGTCATCAAGTTCTATGGGTTCTATTACGTCTCTTTATACATCCCTTCCTTTATATCCTGCTGCCTCTACGTGGGTGGCAGGCCTTTCTCTTTCATGCCTGCACTACCTTTAATACAGCCTCCTAATTGGTCTGTATCTTTATCTTCTCTCTTCTTCAATCCTTCTTGCATACTATCCCCAAATAAATCTTTCCAAAACATCACTATATCACACGCTACCGCATTCTACCTCTGTGCCTTTCCTACTGCTATGCCCTAACTTCCACTGCCTATGAAACACCAACTCAGTTCCTTTCAAATCCCAGGTCAGATTCTGTGCCCTTTCAGAAGCCTTTGACACGTGCCCCCCTACTGATTTTCCCTTTCCCTTAACTCCTGTTGCAGTTTAATGACTGTACCGTTTCTGTGTCATTTACTATTATCAATAACAGTGTTTTAGGAGACTCACACAACCCCTCTCCCCCCGCCCTGGCCCAAGAGTATGTATTTTCTAAGTAGATTTTAAATAGGAAGCCCACTTTAATCTGTGTCCATCACAGCATAGTATATATAGGGACTAAAACAATAAATGGTCTTTATGGTCTGAACTAGAAAATGCAAAATAAAACAGTATAAGCATTAATAAAGGCTACCTATATTTAATCACACAGAAAGATTTCTAACCAACTGATGAAATTAATATTTTTCTTAGCTAGAAAATTAGCTTAATCCATGTTCCAAATGAATGTTAATCTGATTTTAATTGTGAATTATCAAAAACATCTTAAGAGGCCAGCCCCAGTTGCCTAGTGGTTAAGTTCAGTGCACTCCACTTCAGCAGCCCAGGTTTGGTTCCCAGGTGCAGACGTTCACCACCTGTCTCAGTGGCCATGCTGTGGCGGCAGCTCACATACAAAAAGAGGAAGATTGGCAACAGTTGTTAACTCAGGGCAAATCTTCCTCAGCAAAAAACAAAATCACATTTGAACAAAGTGGGAATTAAGAGCAATGTATCTTAAATAGACTTAAAGAAACTATCAGTAGGAACCACTGTATAATATGGATTCAAAAGAAAGAAAAATCACTTTAAGAAAAAAATAGTTAAAAGGGGACACAAAACAACCATTGGTTCAACCACTTAATTGATTAAGAATTGCATAAGAAAATTTGTCCTTAAAATTAGCCAATTTTATTTTTCAAAGTAAATTAAGTCATCAAATAAATATACCTTATTCAAATGTTGTGCTATGTAACCTCTTCCACAACCGAGATCCAAAGCAAGGGGGAAATCTCTAAAAAATACACACAGAAGTTAAGTTTTGTCTGTAATAATACAGTCCATAAAATAATTATTAAGAAGTAATGTTTTTTAAGTAAAAACATTTTAGTGAACACAACTTTCAGAAAGTTCTATAATCCACTTTTTCTGTCTCATCTTACAAGCTGTATCTACCAGAGAACATATCAGACAGAGCAAGTATGTCTCATGTCCAGCCATTCACAAGACCTCACAGTCAACTGGCTTTCCATCAGATTGCTCCATGACATGAATTCAAAGAACAGGTTTAGTGGGGGTATTTTGATCTGATAATATATCCAGATAAAGAACGAAAAGAAGCTAACGTAAATCAACATGAAAATATTCGTGATACTTATCAGGAACTTACTAATTATCCCCATTTCTCAAATTTACTGAGGCAGCAGATGACTTAGAAATCAGCATGTGAAATACCATGAAATATTAATACGTTAAACTCAAAACAATACAAAACACCAACTAAATAACAGCTAACTTTTACTGAAATCTTACTAGGTTCAAAGAGGTGTGCTAAGTGTTCAGAGTAAAGTAGGTCAACCCAAGTTCACGCAACTAAGTGGCAGTCAGAACCTGAATTCAGTCAGTTTGAATCCTGAACTGGAACTATTAACCCCTATGCTATGCTGTCTCCTCTAAATATATCATGTCATAAATCAGTACACACATCTAATTGTTTAAGAAACACACATCTATAGGTTTAAGAAAAATTTTTAACAAGAAAATTTAATTTTATCCACTAATAATATTTTTCCTATTGAACCAAGAGACTCTTTCCACTTTCTGCTAAAAACTTATGTCAAAAGTATAGAACACCAGTACACAGTTGGAGAACAGCTAGTGAGAAACAACCACTTATCTACCTAATGCCCTTTATCTTGATTGTGAACACAGTGTGACTTATGAAGTACACAGGCTTTGGAATCAAAGACATGAGTTAGAATTCTGGGCCTGCAATTTACTGGCTCTGTGACCATACACAGTGATTTAATATTACTGGATCTCAGTTTCACCATCTATAAAATGGAAAAGTTACTAACTTCCTCAGGGTGGTTGTGAGAATTTTATGAAATAATGCATGTAAAGTTTTTAGCACAGTACAAATACTCAACAAAAGTTAGTTAATGAGTTATTATTATCACTGATTATAACAGTATTAAGTGAGTCTCAGATACCACAAATTAAGACATTTAATAATCTGTGGGGCAAGTTCTAAAAAATCAACAAAAGATCAATATTGACAATATAAACTATTATTTCTAATAATAAAACATCAGTGCAAGAACATTTAGACTGGTATTTTTAATAATTAAATTCCTAAGAGTTAATGTTAGCTTAGGACATGCTGTTAGCCATAAGCATAGGTCTCTCTATAGACCTGTGTTTTGCTCAGTACTATGACATAAAAAGACTGTAAAATCCAAACTGTTTTGGAAAATTTAACGTTTCATTTATGATATTGAAAATGGCCTAAAAATCCAAGCAAATGAATGACTATAGAGAAGTAGCTATTTTTCAGATCTTTACAATAACAAAACTAACGAAACAAATGAAATGGAGTGATTATTTGAAACAATGAAGAATTTTTTTCTACCGTATGAAATTAATGCATCCCAAGACTCCTTTAAGTAGCAAGGATATATCTAAAATATGACTGAATTTGTGATTTTACAAAATTCCCCTTTTTATAGACAAATGTAATAAATTCACCCCATCTTGGCCTAATTTAATCTCTGTTTTTCAGACAAAAGAACACAGAAAGTGATTTGCTAACAAAATACAGCAATTCTATGGCAAACTCATTATTTAACTGTGGTTCCTGCCATGCAGCTATAAACTTCAATCTGTAGAGCTTTTGTTATGCTTAATACAGAGCAAGAAATCCATCATGGTTTTAATAAGACTTGATGAATGCAGTCTTTTCTCAAATCTGCCTCTATAGAATGGTCAGAGAACCCTTATTGCCATTAATAATATTTAAGCCAAAAATGGCCAAAGTTTCATATAACCTGATTGGGGAACAAATCTAGGTAGACTTTCTTCTCCATTTAGATAGTAAAAGATTCCATTAATTTTAGTTAAACTTTTAAAGCTAGATTCAGTAAATCTTAAAAATTCATGTGTAGTTAGTTCTTTATCTCCATTTTTGGAGCAATCTTTCCATTACTGGCTTTTGGCCAAATCAAGTGGATCAGACATCCAGGCTCAGATAGAAGCTATGAGTTGTGTTTCCATTCATTCTCTTTTTAGGCAAAAGTGAAGAAAAGAACACTTCCTCTCCCAGACAGAAAAAAGCAGAGACTTAGAGAGTGATTAAAATCACTAATCCTGATAATAAATTCCTCCAGATTCCACCATTCCAGATATCAAGCTTTCAGCATTCAGTCTCTCAAGTCTCCAGTCAAAAGTTAACTGTGTTTTATTATGCTAATCATCACTTACCTGGCTATGTCATATACACGATCTGCGATCCGACTTCCAACCTGAAGGATTACAGGAGGCAATGATGGAGACAAGTTGAGTAGGTTTAACAGAGAAGTAATACTCTTTTTCCAGTATTCAACAATCCATAGGTTACTTATGTTTCAACATGTTGGTAAGTACTCCCCTTTATCCCTGTTTCAATTTATCTACAGCAGCTTTCTTTTCAAATTCTGAATAGAAACATAATAAATTAAAATCCCAGGAAACAAATTGACTTCAGAAGTCAGTTTAATGAATTCAAGACTAAACATTCCTTATATACATATATTTTTGTGGTATAAGGTTGCAAGGACGAAAAGCAATTGGAGCATAAAAGACACATTATTGCCCATAGATATTAGCATGAGGAATATGAAAGTGAAAAATTATTTAGTTAGCTGGGGTTTATTACAGATGACTGTATAAGCTGTCACGTAATAAAAATTCTATTATTTGATGACTATTAACAAATTTTGTGTAACTCCTAAACAGGTAAAGAATTTTTCTGAGCAATGTCTGTAAATTAGAAAAAGTCAGCCAAATCTGAAGAAACCGCACTTCCTGCCTCCCTCCCCAATCCCATCCCAATCTAAAAAATGTCCTAAGGTAGGTGCCTCCTTTTGGTGGGCTAGCTTCATCTGGCAGGAATAAAGATGTGGGAGCCAAATATCCCCCACATTCTACTTATTCCCTCATAAACACCCCAGAGTTTCTATTAGAACTTGAAAGTTTAGGACATGTGTATCTGCTTTTTAGGAGAGGGAGGTTGAAGGGAGGAGGTACAGCAGAAGTCTTTCCCCAGAGGATTCCACTTTGTACGTCATTCCTAACATGAATGTCTTTCGTTTATCATAAAAAGAACTCTCAAATACTTTATCTCATTTATTCTAGTCCTGCACCCTGGTGAGGCCTCAGTCCAGTTGCAATCTCTAGGTACTTTTCTTGGAGAAGAGTGGCTAGGAACACACATCTTCTAAGTACATGCCATTATGAACCCTGAGAACAAACACAGTCAATCACCTGATCAGGCCAGGGCTTGCAAAGAGCTCTGCCCAAAGGAGCTCAAAGTTTGTTGCTTTGGCCTGAAAGAGCTCATTATACTCAACTTCAATATTGCTCTATCCCTGAAGACACATTTACTTAGGCCTGAGCTCTGTGCTGCAGGTCCAGAGAGTAAAAACTCTCAGTCTCTAGCCCACCTGGGCAGCGAGGAAGAGGTCTTTCAAACCAACACAAATCAGAGATCTTAATTTATCTCAATTAATCTTCCTAAAACATAAACCAGATCCTATGACTCCACTGCTTAAAACCATTCAACAGCCTCACATTCCTCTAGAGCACTGCTGGCCAACAGAAAAACGAGAGCCACAAGTGTAATTTTAAATTTTCTAATAACCACTTTAAAAAAGTAAAAAGAAACAGGAGAAATTAATTTTAACATTTTATTTAACCCAACATATCAAAATATAATTTCAACATGTAATCAAGATAAAAATTATTAATGAAGTATTTTACATCCTTTTTTCACACTAAGTCACTGACATCCACTGTATTTTACACTTACAGCACATCTCAGTTGGACTAGCCACATTTCAAGTACTGAACAGCCACATGTGGCCAGAGATTACCATACTAAAGGGACAGCTCAGAGAGAGAAAAAATCCAAAGTCCTTACTCCTTAAGGCCCTAATCACTTGGGCGCCCCCTGACCTCTCTCTCCCACTCCTTCCTTCACTGGAGGCCTCGGGGACTCTGCATTTCTCCTCCCCTTTGCCTGTAACGCTTCTCCCCCAAGATCTCAGCTTGGCCAATTCCTCATCACGGTGTGTGCTACAGTGGTCTTCCCGGACCACCGCAATCACTGCACGACTTCACTTTATTTCTTTAGCTGACATTACATTTCTCGTTCACTGTTTCGCCTCCCGCAAGAATGTAATCTCATGAGGGCAGCGGTCTACTTTGCTCTAGACACACTTGTAACTCAAGCAGTAACTGCTGAGTGAGTGAATGAATGAATGAATGCATACCACCTTAGAAATACCCGAGCCCAGCCCTTCAGTGATTACAGTAGAGGCCCGGACAGCCTGGGCGGCTGCTCAAGGTCACACGGCGAGCTGGGGTCGGTCCGGGCCCGGCCGGAGCTGCTGGACCCGAGGCCAAGGCCGGCGCCGCCCTGCCCCGCTGCCCCGCGGCCTCACCTCCTCCTTCAGGTAGTCAAACTTCCTCGGCTCGGGCTGCCGGGCCGCCCAGTTCTTCTGTTTCCTCTTCAAATCCCGGTCGAAGATATTTACGGCTCTGGGTGAGGCGCTGCCCGGGGGAGAGACACCAGAGGCGACCTTCCTGAGGCCGAGGTTCTTGGCGGGAACCCCCGCCGCCGGAGGTCGCCGCCACAGCAGCCAGACTCGGGTCAGCCGCAGCATCTCCAGCGGCTACGCCACTCGCCGGAGCCCTTCTTGTGCGCATGCGCCGCCGCGGCATCGGCGACTACTCCAGATTTCGCAGAGGGAAAAGAGAAGTAGTTTGGCCCAGTTCGCGTGCCATTACGGCGGAGCGACACGCGGAGGATTGTGGGTATGGGTCCCATGTGAGGCTCTGAGAGGGCTCCTCGGAGGTGAGTGGGGTTGGGTTCAAGAAGGGCCGTAGCGGGTACAGAACCGGTGTCTGATAGGGTCTCCTTCGGATTCGTGAGGGTGCGCCCTTCCTCCTTGCCTTTCCGGCTTCATCTTTCAGACTTGCTTGGTCCTCCTAGGGTCCTGTCGAGGGTCCTCAGCCCAGTAGCCGCGCGCTGAGGTTTGGGAATTGGGAAGGAGACCTTCGTTCCGGAGGCAACTCGGTGTTCCCCGCGTTAGGGGGTGGGTAGAACGGGAGAGTGGCCTCCGGAGATGAGGGCGGGCGTCAGAGGTGAGGTCAGGTCGCCTTTCGCTCTTCAAATATCTGGCGTTTGTCCATTGCTTTCGTTCCCAACCTTTATATGCATTACCTCTAATAGTTGAATGAGGTGTTTCCTACCTCCTAAGGCTATTCAGAGGATTAAATGCTTTAATATTTCTAAAATTCATGGAACAGTAACCCGCACATAGTAAGAGCTCGCCATCGTTAATACTAATGTTATCTTTTTAAGTGTGTAAGTGGATTATTGACATCTTTGATTTTTCTTGGTGTATAAAAAGTTGTTTTCAAATTTAAGGGAAAAATATAGCTTTATAGTCAAGGCTTTCTTTTGAAACAAAGCACCACTACCCTATTTGGTCAGTTCCTTTTTGCTCTTAATAATCAATTACTTTTGGCTCTTTGCAAAAGTCAAATCTAGAGATGCTAAACCATTAGCGACTATTTTCAAGGGAACGATAGTAATTATACACACACACACGTATTCTAATATGTTTTGGGGGTAATCAGCCTTAGTCACTGGTAGGGTAAGAAATTATGGAAAGAAGTGATCTTTATTAAAAAGAGTGAGAGACTTTACCTGGTTCTTAAAGGATGGTCAGACTTAAAGAGGGAATTTTGTGAGCTAAACCTGAATTGATTTTGGTCTATTTAGTTAGGAGACTAGTATTGTAGAACTAAAGGCTGTTTAAAGTAACATAAGGTTAAGATTAACAGAGAGAAGGGGGCCAGAATGTGAAGAAACAAATGAGACCCAGGCCTGGGATCTTTTGATTATATTAGCTTTTAATTTGTAACATATACAGGTATACAAAGAGAAAAAGCCGAATTCTAGGTGAGTGCAATTGGCTAGTAAGCATTTGCCCCCTCTATAAAGCCCTGGAATTCTGCTTGATTTTGCCTTGTTTATTTCTCCAAGAGGTCTGTAATCAAAAGAGGAGATTCTGTTAGGTTTTGTTTTTTTGCGTGTGACGCAGAATAAGTTTGGAAAATGAAATTACACTTGTTACCTTTATTTTATTTACGTTTAGCTTAGGATATATTGTGAATTAATATTTTTTCCTGAGGCACCTATTATACTACTAACCCTGCATTTTTATGAACGTTTGTTTTGTTTTTCAGTATTTGGCTTCTTCAAGCGTCTGTCCAGTCAGACATTTAAAAATGGCATCCAAACAAGAGATAATGAGTGACCAGCGGTTTAGGCGGGTTACAAAGGACCCAAGATTTTGGGAGATGCCAGAAAAAGAACGAAAAATCAAAATCGACAAGAGATTTCGAGCAATGTTTCATGACAAAAAGTTCAAGTTGAATTATGCTGTGGATAAAAGAGGACGCCCCATCAACCACAGCACTACAGAGGACTTGAAACGTTTTTATGACCTTTCAGATTCTGATTCAGATCTATCTGATGAAGATAACAAACTATTGAACCAAAAGAAAATGAAGAAAAGACCCCAAACTAAAAACAAAATAGAATCAAAAAATCTAGTTGAAGAAAAAAAGAAAGAAACTAAGAACATTAGTCGAAAGGATTCCAAAAATGAAAATGACTTAGAGAACTCTGACAGAATTCAGAAAATGAAAAACTCATGCAAGTCTAAGAAGATAGATTCAAAAATAAGTCCCAAGAAAGATAATGAAGAATTTACACAAAAAAGTGCAAAAGGGAAAAAAAACGTTGTTCGACATAGTACAGACGCGTGTCCCAAAGGAAAACTAAGGACAGTAGACTCAGGCACCTCTGAAATTGTGGAATCTCCCAAGATCAAGTTTTCTGAAACAAGAGGAGAAATGCAATCAGGTTGGTTGAAAGAAACTAGGGATTTTTTGGTATAACATTATTTATTTTCATAGTGTAATAGGAATGGTCAAATGCTTATTTGGAAGTATAAAGCTATGAAAGAAAAAATACCATATAATAATTAATAATTTTTGATTTGGTGCTGTAACGGCTAGAAGAGAAACAAATAAAATCTTGAATCTTGAGGCTAAACAATGATTTTGATTTGTACTGGGCACTAGTGAGAGCTATATTCTCTAACCACATGAAGTGTTATATGTTCTCACCACATGAAAAGAAGAAAAAGCTCTGAAAAAGATTAAGTAGAGTTGAGTACTCATCCATTCTTTCATTCATTCAACCACTTTTAGTAACTAGTGTCTGGCAGATAGAACATGATTAAGACGTGATCCCCCTTGTCAGGGCTGCTGCTAGTTTATGTGATGCCTCTGCAAGTTAGAAAAAGATGTGCCCCTCTGGACACACAGAGCTGCCAGAGCTCACAGTTTTGTGAGAGACAGCACCTTTGAGTGAAGTAACAGGTTCTTTTTCCCGGAACAGACACAGTGCCCTTGAAGGGTACATGGCTTGGTGAGAGGAGTTTGGCTTCAATTGAAGCCCTTCTTGCCCCTCTTGTATATCCTCTTTTGCAAATAACAGTCTGCTAAACTCTATGCAGTGACACTGGTCTAAAGCAGCATGGTCCAATAGGAATACATAATTTTGAATTTTCTAGTAGAGACATTAAAAAGTAAAAAGAAACAGATGGAATTGTTTTATTAATACATTTTATCTAACCCAATATATCAAAAAAATTTCAATATGTAGTCAACATAAAAATTTTAATGGAATATTTTGCATTCTACTTTCATACTAATGTCACGTTGGAGGAGCCACATTTCAAGTGCTCAGTTGCCACATGTAGCTGCTGACTACTATATTGGACAGTGCAGATCTAAAGTGGAAGAAGTTAGTCAGAACCATGATACAAAATAGGATAATAGTACCGTAGAAGATGTTTAGCAGAGGGGTATGAGAACTCGGAGGAAGAGATTTCTCGAGATAATGGTAATTAGAGGAAAATTTATACTTGAAGCAGTATTTTGATTGGAATTTGGAAAAATTGGGGACCTGAGCATTCTATGTGGAAAGAACTTTGTGAGCAAAGATATGGTTATGTTCAGAAGACGTCAGTATTCTCGTTTGATTAGATTATAAGGTCTCTGAAGGGGTGAGTGGATAATACAGCTAGAAGTGATTATTTGGAGCTAAAAGTAGGAAATATCTGATTCTAATTCATGTTTACATGTTTACTAAGCTTATTAAAATTCTGTGTTACCTCTCACAGCAGCAAAATTTGAGTGTTGGTGTTGCTGATCTTTGATATAACTGAAAATTTGTGTTGTTCACATAAGCCTGATGAAGGCTGGCTATGATTACAGGATCCAGTGAGGGTAGGCATCAGGAAAAGGCAGAGAGAGGTCTTGACAGGCCAAGATCACACTGAGAAGGTAGAAAGTATCAGGCAGTGGACAGAATTCTAGATAGCAGGGACTTAGTGGATCAGGGGTGGCGTCCCATTCCTTTTCTACAGCAAACTAAGGTATGGGGAGAAGAGATATGAGTCTGGTTACTGAAATTGAAGAATAAGATCAGAATGGGAACAGCAACAAAGTTGGTTTGATGCTGAGTTTGTGAAGTAAGTTAGTCTAGCATCTTTTGAATTTCACTTGATTTAGAGCACTAGAGTGATATATCCATGTAATTCTTTGGATTGATTTTACAGAATCTTTTTACATATCTTTTTTTCACTTAATTTTCTCAATAACCTCAAGAAATTAGGATATATTAATCAGGAATCAAGGTCGAAGTGATTTATGTGAGGATACACCGAGCTGGGCCTGTAACTCAAGTCTTTGAATCTTTTTGCCCCGCGTGTTGCTTGTAGTAATTTACATTGGTTTCATTGTCTAGAAAAGGCATTATCTGTCAGTAGGGATTAAGTGACTCTATATATAAACATCTTCTTTCATCAGCTATCATTCCATCAACTCTGTGTACAAGGGACTTTTTTTTAAGTGCTATAAGATAAAGGTGATGTGAGGAGTTGCCGTTTGGTATTATGTGTCATTTTAAAATGTTGGTGCCCAGCACTTGTACTGCTAAGAACTTATTTTAAGTAAGTAATTGGACATGTGTGCAAAGGATGTGCATTGTAGCATTGTTTTTAAAAATTAAAAAAATGGCAACATAAATCATTAAAGGATTGATTAAATAAATTGTGACCTAGCCAAACATGTCTGTGATATATGAAGTTTTAAAAATAGGTTGCAAAAGAGCATAAATGGTGTGGTTAGCCACTTAAAAAAATTGGTAGGTATATCATGGAAAACAAATTTAGGCAGTTATGTACCAAAATAACCATCCAGTTATCTCAGAGTAAAAAATTACTAATGATCTGTATTTTCTTCATTAAACCATATTTTTTTAAATTTTTTGCAGTGAGTATTCATTACTTTTATAATTAGGAAGAAAATCATAAAGCATTTTTTTTAAGTAGCTGGATAAGTAGTAGTTTTTACAGTCACTACTAGAGCAATATCATCTAGGAATAGAGGTAACCCAAATTATCTGGCATATGGCTTCATACATGGTGGGTTCTGAGCAAATATTTGCTGAATGAATAAATATTTTAATTTTTATTCATTGGTGTCAAAAATATTAAAATACTAGATCTCTTTAACTCTCCCATGTATCAATTTATTGTACAACCCATAGTGTGGTTTGTGTACTATTGTCATATGTGAAAAGATGTCATATGTGAAAAGAG